ATGCCGAGCTCAAAAGGTTCACCATCACTGGTCTAGAACAAAGATGCCTGAGTTCAAGTTCTTGCTCTGTCACACACTAGCTTTGGCAAATTACTTTAACCTGGCCTTGGTTTCTTCATCTCTAAAATGGGAAAGAAAATGATGAAGTTTAAATAAATCAAAATGTGTAAAGAACTTAAAATAGTTCATGACACATAGCATGGGCTACATAAGTCTTAGCTACTATTATTAGTATTACTACCATTCTCAGCTAACGTCTTCAAAGCCGGCCTTAACAGTCTGCCTTGATCTGGAAAAGCTAAGCTAGTATTTCTCTGAAGCACGCTGTCTGCAGGTAGTAATGGACCTTCCCTGACCTTATGATCCTGATTTTAGGTTTCTATGTTGCTGTAGAGGTGATTTTCTCAAGATAGTGTTTCCATTGTTTTACATTTAAATGATTATTTCTTTTTCTAAAAAATGTCTAGACATTGTTGAGTATTTATACACTGAGTACACATACTGAGTTGCAAACTCAGGCAGGTGGCCTGGCAAGAGACTATTGTGCCACCTTCGAGTGAGAGAGTCCACTTTTGACGGGGATGCTGATGTATTGGCATCTCCTGGACACTGAGGGTGTGTGAGGACAGTGCAAAGCCATATTTGAAGTGGGCAGTGTTTGCAGATTTGTATCATTTCTATGTTGTTAATTTCAAAATCAAGGGCACTTGGAATATATAGTCGTCCAGACCTGGGGAACTTGAGAACTTCACATTGGACAAATCATTCCCTCAATTTCCTCACTGAAAAGGGGTGGTGGGGGTACCTGTGCTACTAGGTTTCTGATACCATCCACACATCTACTGCTCGGTGCTATCTTTGAGATTGCAAGGCAAGCACAGTAACCTGACTGTGCAGGTGAGGAAATGGCGGCTTTGAGAGGTCAAATAACTGGCCCTACCTAGGTCATAGGGCTTTGAGGGGTTGGGAGGAACATTAACCCCAGATGCATTCCAGAAGCCTTCCCCTCTCACACATGTATGGGATGTGTGGGCGGCTTGTGCGTGTCCAATTGGCACACTACTTTACCCACTTCCTACTTGCTTTCATGCACAGGCCACACCAGCTGCTCACAGCTGCCCTGGGAGGTGAGCCAGGCAGGCTGAGCACAAGCTCCGACCCCTATTGCTCAGGTGAGGAATCTGAGGCCCAGAGAGATGATGTGACTAAGGATGCAGACCCAGCAGATCTCACAGCTAGGGCACTCTCAGAGTACACCTAGTCCAATCCTATGCTGTAAGAGATGGGAACTCTCAGAGCCAGAGAGAGAAAAAGTAGGGCCAGGCCACTTGTGGAGGTGGTGGCAGAGCAGGGTCAGAGACCTCAGGCAAGGGGGTTCCCTATTCTGAGTTTGTTCCCTCACATCTGCCATGAGGAACAGTAACTCCCACAGAGTATCAGCAAGAATGGAAGGAGATAGTGCACCAAAGTGCCGGGCTCAGGGCCCGACAGTGATGCTGACCAAGAGGAGGAGAAGGAGCAGTATGGACACCTAGGAAATTGTCAAAACAGATGTTTCAGGTGGCTGGGAGGGCATTGGCACGCCCCTTAAAAGTGTAAGAGAGGCCCAGCATGGCTCAGTGGTTGAGTGTCGACGTATGAACCAGGAGGTCACAGTTCTATTCCAGTAGGGGCGGGTTCATCCCCAGTGGGGAGCCATGCAGGAGGCAACTGATCAATGATTCTCTCTCATCATTGATGTTTCTATCTCTCCCTCTCCCTTTCTCTTTGAAATCAATAAAAAATATTTTTTAAGTGTAGGAGGGACTCTGGGGATGAGAAGCCATGAAGGTGGGTTCTGGCTTAATGAAAGGAGATGGGGAGTGGTATGGGCTGTCTGGGTGGATGGGCAGGTGGGTGTCATCAGAGAATGTTGAAAGGTGGAGGTGTCCACTCAAGATACTGTGAGCCCGTCAAAGAGTGGCAGCCGACTGCAATGGACAGAGCACACAATTGAACCTCTCAGAGGGTTCTGGGTCTAGGCCCAGAACTGCCACTCCCTGGCTGTGTGCCTTAGGACAAGTGTCTTCACTCTGAAAGCCTCGCTTTCCTCATCTGTGCAATGGGTCTGATCATCCCCTGTCTGGTAAATTCAACCTAGGCCTGTACAAGAAATTATAAGTGGATATTGAGAGAACTTTATGCATCATAGTCAATAACTGGAAACAAGGGGATAATGCTTGTCCACCAAAAAGAGTGAGAGGAGTCAGAGGGCACAGGGCTGTGTGGGGGAAAGGCTGTGCAGGCTGCGCAGGTACCCACACCCCCATCCCAGGGTCTCAGGAACCCCCTGTGGAGATGCACTGTGGTCCTCTGTGGCCGGGGAGCCTGTGGAAGAACCAGGGCTGGGGCTGGGGGTGGGGGTTGGCTGTGAGTGAGGAGGTAGGCCACCTCCAGGGTGACCATCCTGACCATCCCAGGGGACCTGCCTCCCAGCTGCATTCCCCAGGGCCCGCCTGCCTCCCCTCTGCTCTCTTCCTCCCTGGCCACCTGTGGGCCTCAGGGGAGTGGGCCCCAGGGGAGGCCGACCATGGGGCAGGGCTGTGGACAGGGGAGAGTGCTGTCAACCTGCAGGCCTGGAGGTCTTGGGGACCTGGGAACCCCCCGCCAGCACCCTGTCTCTGATGGCTGCTTTCTCCTCCTTTCCAGATGAGCTGCCGTATCTCAAGTGCCCTCTGCACACAGTGCTCAAACTCACACCTGTGGCTTATGGTAAGGGCCCCTACCTATATCTGGGGAAAGGCACATAGAGGCCATGAGAATGCCTCCAGTGCCTACCATTTGCCCAGTAGAGTCCTAGGGGAGGTTCCTTGTGTGGGTAGTTGGATGTCCTGGTAGAGGTGGGCCTGGTGGTGGCAAGATGAGCACTGAGCATAGAACACCAAACTGTAGCAGGGTCACGGGGGGCAGGGGGGGCGGGGAAAGTAGTCTCCAAAGGGGACCAGGGGAACAATTAAGTGTATGTTGAGGCCATATTGAAGAAAGGCCTCAAAGGCTAGACTCTCTTGGGGCATTAGTTAGCTGTGAAATGTTCATGAGTAGGGAAGAGACGGACAAATCTTTCTGGACTGTGAACAGGACAAATGGTGTACTGAATCCCAGAGTAGAGTGCAACCCAGAGATGGAGCTAAGGGGGCTTCCATAGGCATTGGGTCTCCTCTGCCAGCCCCAGCCCCATGATACCATCCTCCTCCTTCTTCAGGCTCCCCCAAACTCCCTGTGACCTCCGCACCTTGAAGGTTCAAACACACATCGAGAGAAGCCTGAGGTAGGTGAGGGCCTCTGTGGCCTATGCGGGCACATGGTGAAAGCACCCTCCCCACCCAAAGGGCCACCCAGTGCCACAGACCTTGGGTGTTTTGCACCATCAAATAGAATAACCAGCACCTAAAAATGCTGGAACCTCCGCCCAGATTTGGAGGCAGCATGGAGATGCAGGGCTAGAGCAGCCCCTCCCAAAAAAGCCTCAGACCAGACTCCTCCAGGCTCTCCTGAGAAAAGGATCAGGATGCAGGCTTGGCTGAAGGAGGGGAGCCTGGTAGTGAGGACAACCGACAGGGGATGGGCTGGGGCTCCACACTGCTGTCTCCTTCCTGTTAATCCTGGGCTTTCTTCTCTCAGAATGTGGACATCACCCGAGATCCTGAGGAAGCCCTGGACACTGTCCCTGCCCACTACTGAGCTCTCTCCAGGAAGTCAAACTACCTCTTTCCTGACTGTCTTCCACCTTTAGAAGCTTCTGTCCTTGCTCTTCTACACTTAGAAGACTTTGGATTTGGTCTCACTGGGAGACCCTGCTTCCAATGAAGAAGCCCTCGGCAGTTCCAAAACAGATGTCGATTTCTAGCTACAACCAAGGAGCTGTCTAGCTCTGGATGAAACTTTTTCCTTAATTTTCATTCTCTGATCAATGAAAACTTCTCTTACTGCCTCTAAGAGGGGAGAGGTGGTCATTGTGAGGCTTCTCCCACAGGATCATCTTAAGATCCTGACCCCACAAAGTGGCTCTGGTGCTGTGGGGATGTGGAATGGGTGAGAGCTTCCTGGAGGAAAGACTTCTGGGAGGAGATAGGTCTCTGTGTCTGCCTATGGGCTTTGTTCCTTGGTGGGCAGTGTTCCTGGGCCACGACACCATCATCCCTATACTCAGAGAAGCTGTACTTGGACCACAGTGCTCCTGTCTTCTCCAACTCTTGCTGTCATTCTGCGTGTTATCACTGTCCATGTAAATAATCCAAAGAATACCCTAAGCCTCCCAGTCCCCCTCAACTCCATGACCACCCACTCCATGGACATTGGCACCATGTAGACTTCTCCCCAGTGTGACTTCTTAAATACACGCATCCCACTATCTGACCACAGACCCACAGTTCTTACAACTTTGTGTGTCATGCACAGGATCTCTAGCAGCGTGCCTTCTATACAGCAGACATGCACATAGTATTTCTGGCCAGGTACCAGTAACCCAGTGCTGAAAAGACAAACTCATACAGTATTTTCTGGTACTCTAGCCCACCCCACCTTCTCAGGGATTGCCTACTTCAGTCAATTCATGACTATTCTTTTTCTATCTCCTGTCCTTTTATATTGGCTTTTGCCCCGACGGTCTCTGCAACATGGTCAGGTCTCTCTCCTATCCCAGTAAAACTCTCCCTTGTTCCTGTGTCACCCTCTAATTACCGCCCCCCTCCATTCTTACACAAACATCTCAAAATGAATGTATAATTACTGTCCAGAACCTTCTCCCTGTGCATTCTGTTCCAGGCTTTCCCCCTCCATATCTTTGTTCATATTCCTGCCATGCTTCCCCCAGGTCTCTATCCCACTGAAGTAATCCTTTCCTTTTAGCCAAAAGCTGGACCCCACATTTCCCGAAGAGCTAGGCCGATCTTTAGCTCTTCTATGAACTCAAAATGTCACTCACAACAATTAAGCATAATAAAGAAAAAAAACAACTCCAGTTCATTTTGCAAATTTAATGGAACGCTGATACCAAAGTACAACAACAGCACACAGAAAGCGAACAAGAAAGCAGGACTGGCAACTGGACTTTTCATAGCATGTCAGCCTCGGCTGATGGGCAGTATCTGCTCAGACTGCTGGGTGGACAAAGATCCCAAGGACGTTCCTTGGCTTCATGGGAAGGAGGGACTGCTGCAGCGCATTAGCGGGATCTGTAAATGTGGGTCATAAACCTGAAAACAAAACGCCAAAAAGGAACATATTTTAGCATCAAATATACTGTTTTCTCATACTTCCTCCACTGTCTTCATCTCCCCACCCTGCCCTCCCACCTTGGGGTTTCTTATAACATTTCCCAGAACTTATATGCATACCCATGGGCCTTGGCTATGGAAATGCTGTAATTACCTGAAACCTCACTAGCCATAGGAGAAGCTACAGGCACCAAGGCTGGTGGCTCCACCACCAAAGGGAGCACCGTTGCTCGGTCCACCGCTGAAGCCAGCACCGGTGTTCAGTCCACCGCCGAAGCCAACGATAGAACTGGGTCCACCATTGAAGCCAATGCTGGTGCTGGGTTCGCCAGTAAAGCCAATACTGGTGTTGGAACCACTGCCAAAGCCAATGATGGTACTCAGTCCTCCGTCGAAGCTGGTATTAGGCCCACCACCAAAGCCATCACTGATGTTGAGGCTACCACTAAAGCCAGCACTGGTGCCAAGTGTGCTGCCAAAACCAGCATTGGTGCCCAGTCCTCCACCAAAGCCATCGCTGGAGATCAGTCCGCCACCAAAGCCAGCACTGGTGCCTAGTCCACCATTGAAGCCAGTGCTGGTGCTCAGTCCACCACCAAATCCAGTGCCGGCACTTAACCCATCGCCAAAGTTAAAACCCACACTGGTGCTAAGCCCGTTACCAAAACTGGCACTGGTAGCTCCACTAAAGCAGGCGCTGGTGCTAGGAGGGCCACCAAAGCATAGGTTAGTATTAGGCACATTACCAAAGAAACTGGTGCTGGGACCTGCACCAAAGCCAATGCTGGCGCTAGGGGCACTTGCAAAGTCAGTAGTGGTGCTAAGTGCCCCAGTGAAGTCAGCACTAGTGCTGAACATACCGCCAAAGCCAGAGTTGGTGGTGGGTGCACCACCGAAGCCGGGGCTACCACCAACAGCACTGCTGAAACCAGCACTGGTGTTGAGCGCACCGCCAAAGCCGACACTGGTGCTGATTGCACCACCAAAGCTAGCACTAGGATTGGGAGAGCCACTGAAGCAGATGCTGGTGCTCAGTGTGCTGCCAAAGTCAGCGATGGTGCTGGAAGAGCCACTGAACGAGACACTGGTGCTGAGGATGCTATCAAAACCAGTGCTGGTGCTCGGAGAGCCACCGAAGTAGATACTAGTACTGAGCGTGCCACCAAAGCTGGCGCCAGAGTTGGGAGAGCCACCAAAGCACACACTAGTACTGAGTGTGCCACCAAAGCCAGTGCTGGTGCTAAGTGCACCGCTAAAGACGGCACCGGTGCTGGGGGCACTGCCAAAGCTGGTACTGGTAATGAGAGCACCACTGAAGCCAGCAGTGGTGCTCAGTGTGCCTCCAAAGCCAGGGCTGGCCCCGCCACTGAAACTGGTAGTGGTGATGAGTGGGCCACTGAAACTAGAGCTGACCCCACCACCGAAGCTGGCACTGGTATAAGGTGTGCCACCAAAGCTAACGCTGGCTGTGCTGCTGAAGCTGGCACTGGTGCTGGGTGTGCCACCAAAGCTAATGCCAGTTCTGCCACCAAAGCCACCACCACTGGGGCTGGGTGCACCACTGAAGCTAATGCTAGCACCATTGTGGAAGCTAGCTGCGGTGCCAGCTCCTCTGCTGAAGTCGATGTTGGTGCTGGCATCTGCATTTTCGTGGGCTCTGGCCTCAATTTCAAATGAAAATCTGCTCCACGCCTGAGCATCATCGCCTAACTCTTCCCGTGTTAGGCAGTCGATATCCATGTCATCCCAATTCCAGGGCCCAGCCACAGCTTCCTCTCCAATTCCCATTTGGGCTCTTGCCTCAGCCCTGGCCTCAGCCTCAGCCACAGCCACAGCTGCAGCCTGGACTTCCATCTCCACTGCCTCCCGGTACTGAGCAGCCCAGTCCTTGGGGTCTTTCTTCTGCACCTGAAATGGGAATGATAATCATTATAAGGAAAATAACCTTATAATTATGTATTAAGTGCATATTATGGGCTTTGTATAAAACTAGTAGCAATGTTTTTCAAGACTATCATGGGTCAGTCTTGAGATCCAATTTTAGCTCTAATGACTTAGGTACTGTGTGACCTTGGATAAGTTACTTAACCTTATTGAGCCCAAGTGTCTTCATCTGTAATTTGGGAAGTGATAAGAGAGTAAATGTGTTATGGATTAACTGCTGTGTCTCCCAAAAATTCATACGTTGAAGCACCAGCCCCCAATGTGACTGTATTTGGAGATCGGGCCTTTATGGAGGTCAAGTTAAATGAAGTCATAACGATGCAACTCTGATCCAATAGGATTAGTGTCCTCATAAGAAGAGGCTCTCTCTCCACCATCTTAGGACACAGTAAGAAGGCATCCATCTTCTTTCCAGGAAAAGAGACCTCAGCAGAAACTAACACTGTTATACCTTGATCTGGTACTTCTAGCGTCCAGGATTATGAAAAAATAAATTTCTGTCATTTAAGCCATCCAGTCTATGGTATTTTGTTATAACATTCTGAGAACACTAATGCAAACTATGAAGAATGACTGAAACAATGTAAACTTTATGTTGAGCAGCATCCTGGGACAAAATTAAATTCCATATGTTTATATATGAACTGCAGGCTGCCCTGTACCTGCCCATCCCTATACATAGTCTGCCCCAATCAGGGGCAACCCGTACCCTTAATATGCCAAGTCAGGGCAGGTCTCCTATTACCTTGCAGGCAAACTTGAGGACTTTCATCTTGCTAGTCTCATGGTAGGAGCGCAAGCCCCAGAAGAACTCATATTCAGGTGGTCTGCTGTTGGGGACCCTCTTGTACTCCAGGTACCTTAGAGAAAGGAAATGAAACTTGCTTCTAAACAAACAAATCTGTTGTCTAACCACTGGGAACCAGGTGAAAACTTCCTTCAAACACTAAACTCAGCTCCTGGAGAAGATTTCCAAGACCCTTCATCCCCAGACTCACTCCCAAACATAGTTCATGGTCTTGCCTCCACTATTAAGCCATTTCCCATTGACTGTGTGCAAAAGAGTCACTTGGTGCTGCAGGGGAGGCATGTGTAGGGCATGATGTCACAGGGAGGCCAATGTACCCTGCCACCTGTGAGGAGTAAGCCCAAGTTCCTGTTGGGTGTGTTGTAAACAGAGGAGCCATTCTTCAGACACTCTGCTCTGAGCACACCCCCCTAACAAGGGCCTTGTGTTTGATCTGGCCCAGCCTTGGAATGGCCCACCCATGGGAATTGTGGACAAGACTCAGATTTGGGGCACAGGATGCCAATACCTCTAAAGCTAGTGTGAGAAAGGGGCTTATCAAGCACCTCCTGGACCAGACCAACACACCCAGAACACTTCAGGGCCTGACAACGCCCCAAAACACCACTTACTTCTGCTTCACAAACTCGTCTGTGATGAGTTTCCTCACTTCCCCAAAGAGCGAGTGCCTCACCCTGACAATGGGAAAAATAACCCATGAACAAAAATCAGAACTTCCCAGATGAGGACAGAGGCATTTCACAACATGGAAGACACCTCTCTAGCACATGTGGCCATCTTCATGAAACCAAAAAAACAGTAAACACATACATGATCACTAGCAGTAGGCAGTTGAGGCCAAATGGTTCTTTGCCAGGGATACCCTGAAGGTCTATCTTATATCTCATCTTAGAACAGACAGAGGACATAGAGGAGAGAGGGAGCAGGGAGTTAAGGACTAGTTTCCCCATTCACCCATATCAGAGACATGGACCATCTACCCAGCCCGATACCCCCGCCCGCTCCATCAGACCACCAGGCTGATGCGATCCTGGGACCATCCTCTCTTGCCAAAGGACAACACGGACAGCAAGTGCTGAGAGAGCCCAATCATACCCAGGGCGCAGCCCCAACTTGCGCAGCACCTCCCAGATGACAGCTGCAAGGGGAGGCAAGAGAAGAGGGACAGAAAATGAACATGTGGAATTCTGACCATGGCCACCCATTCAGCTGCACGCCCAGCCACTCACCCTCGCTGGACCGATTTCCATTCATGAAGATGATGCTAAGAAGCACCATGAGGAGACCCAGCTTGGGGGAGTCCTTGGTTCTAGGGGAACAATAGGACAGAGAGGTTTAGGTCCTGCAGCCATCTGCAAAAAACACACCAGCCAGCTCACTAGGCTAGCCTCTCCCAGATTCCTCAGGTATGGGAGAGTTCTGCCCAGTCTATGCTTCAAGCTCCACATGACCCTGGGAAAGACACTTAGACCCCTGAGCCTCAGTCTCCTGTCCAGTGAAACAGGAAATCACATCCTCCCCTCCCCGGGCTGCTGAGAGGACAGAAGAAATCCCCCCAACAGAGTTAGACCCTGGCACTCCGCCAATGCGAGGCCCTTCTTCCTCTCACAGGCCCCTCAGCCACCAGAGGATTCACAGCCACCGATGCTCCTGCCCTTCGAGCATCGTGATCCACCCACACCAGGAAGGCCTCCCGTGAGAACCACTCTATCAAGACCAGCAGGAAGAGACAAGCAGTGACAGGGCTGCCTTCCTGGGAAGCTTCTGGACAGACAGACAACCTGACAGTAGGACTGCCCCACCCAGGCTTCGACACCCTTCAGTCCATCGTAACCAGGCACAACTTTTGTGGGCAGGGTTCCAGCTACATGCGGGGGCTGGAACGGGCTTTCAGGCCTGTCTTTCCTGACTCTCTAAGGAAGTGTGGGACAGAAGACAGGGATGGGGTAGTGCCATGGACAAAAGCAGAAGCCTCCCTCCCACCCAGCCCTTTCCCAGCTTACGTTCCCAGTATGCCTGCGGAGGATTCCTTAGTGCTGATGAGAATATACAAGCTACTTTGCTTATCAATCTCCTTCAGATTGACTCGAAACATCTGCCAAGTAAAAGAATAACCTGTGAGATAACAAAATTCAGCCTAGGCATCAATGAGCTTCCTGAGCATCCCACAGCTCCCCTTGTACCTAGGGGCCAGTGTGTGTGTGTGTGTGTGTGTGTGTGTGTGTGTGTGTGAAATCAGTGAGATAATAAATGTAAAGTACTTAGCTATGAGGCCAGCATACAGAAAGCAGGCAAGAAATGTGCTATTGTTATCAATATCACCCTTGTGATTAGTTGGAATCTAGGCAAACAGAGAATGAGGAATAGAAGGAAGAGGTGAGCATCTGGAATACATTCCAGGACATGTCCAGCAGCAGAGAGAAGTCAGGACTAAGTTGGTTGGCTTGAGTCCTAGCTGTGCTTTTACCACTTACTTGTGTGACTCCTGGCAAGTCTATGCACCTCCCTAGGTCACTGTCTGCCCATCTGCACAGTGATGGGGCTGAGTTAGAGAGTCTCTGTAGTGCCCCCAGAAGGGAAGTATACACCTTTGTTTGATTCAAGGCTTCGCCACTGCACCCATCCTCCAGGGCTGCCCCTTCACCTTCTCCAGAGCGTAGCTTGCTCGTTCAATGATCTCTGGGAAATATTCATCATATTCCTGGATGACATCCTTCAGCATGTCTGCAGGAGGGGAGAGGTGGGAGCACCTGGGCTGAGCAGAGGCCACAAAGCTGCAGCCCTTTTGCAAGCCCTGTGGGGTCAGTGCAGTCTGAGTCCTAAACTATGTTTAATGGGAGATGCCATTAACACAGTGTGAGGAGAGTAGGGAAGGACATATGAGGAAAATAGCCCCCAGGGGGTGGGGGAGAGGGGAGTGAGAAGAGAGCTAAGGGAGGAGGGTATGTATGACTCTACCTGAGCGCTTGATGGGGATCTTTGTCTGGTCCTTAACCAACAGGTATTTCACCAACTTATTTGCCTGGGAGAAGAGGAATATATAGGGAAATCTCAATATGTTTTAGAAAACTCAGAAGAATTCCAGAGAAGGGGGCAGGTGAAGAAAAGACTGGGCAGCATAGGAGTCTTACCCTTTCTTGCAAAATGGCCACATCTCGGGGTGGCGGAGGCCTCTGGCCCCATGGATTCCACCTGTAATTACGGCCACCTCTCTCATGCCCAATCAGATGCTTGAACTGCATCATCAGAAAGAAGGAAGGTCCAGAGTCACCAGGTGAACGAGATGGCTCTGTTTCTTTACCCTAACTCCTCCTGAAAGTCCCTTAAACCCTCCCTGTAGTGGGTCCTGACCTTACTTTTGACCACCCTGAGTCCTAGACTTGTCTTTCACTGTCTTCCAGGCAGGAGTTTCATTTCCCAGCTAGGAAAGGAGCAACCCAAAGGCAGGGCCTGGGGTTCCTCTTCCTTTGGCCACCACTAACTCTGCTAGCTGTACCCCTTGGACAAGTCTCTTCATCTTTCTGGGACTCAATTTTCTTATCTGTAAAACTGGGACGTATGATCCCTAGCTGGTAAGAATTTCTTTCAAAACATGAAAACTACCTGTGTGAATGTATCCAACACAAAGCCTGGCGCATGGTAACTACTATGTAAATACATGTTGCATTATATCTAGGTTGTCATTAAGTATATGGATGTCTTATTTTCCCACCAATCTGTGAACTGCCTGGGAGCAGGAACTATGTCACATTTTTCTCAGCATCTCTCACAGCCTATCTGAACACAGAGACTGTCTCAAGGTAAAAAGGCTCAGTAAAATTTTATAGAATAAATGAACAAACTAGGAGGATAGGAATGGAAACCAAGTACAAATTTAAGGATCGTGATGTCAGAGATCTCACCTTTCGGTTCCTCTTGCCCCGGGTCCTGGTTGTAGGCTCCAGACTCAACTGAGCCAGGTAGTCATCTGCCAGGGCCTGGACAGCAGCAGCAACCTGAGTCTCAAGGGTACTTAAGTTGGTCTGAGAGCCGGCCATCTTGGCCTGAGCTCCTTGGTCAACAATTTGAATCTGAGCTTTAGCTACCCGGGCCTTAGTGGAAGTCTTCTGAGCCCTGGACCCTCTCTTGACCTGAAGAGTGGCAGCTAGGGCTTGGTTTGTGACCATTTGAACGGCAGGTGGGGCCTCATAGATCTCATAGGCAAAATGTATGCCCTTATTGACAGCCTTCTTGCTTTGGATTTTTTGGCCCGGATAGCCGCTGCCGAGGCCTCAATCTGCCTGATACCTCTCTCAGTGGTATCTGGGGCCCCTAGGACAGTGTCAGTATTTGTGCCTTTAACAGTTGTCCTCTTGTCTTTGGAGGCTTTCTTAGTTCAAATGGAAGCTACCGTGGCCTGGGTATTGGTTGTCTCATTGGTAATTTGGCCTTGGGTGGTAGCTGTGTGGATGGTGTTTGAAGCCAATGAGATCTCAGTGGAAGTATATATGGCCTTATCGGCAGCCTTCTTAGCCTTGGAAGCTTTCTTAGGCTTGATGGAGGCTACTAAGGCCTGGGAATTTGCTGACTCACTGGCAAGTGGAGCCTGGGTAGTCTGTGGGATGACTGATAGGTAGAGGGCCTTCAAGGGTGACTTGATCTGTGTAGTGACACTCTCACTGCCAGTTGGAGATTGAGGGCCTTGGGCTGCCTTAGCAGTAACTCTCTTTGTCTTGTTGGCTTTCTTAGACTGAGTGGTGACTGAAGAAGCTTGAATATTAGCTGCCTCAGAGGTAGCTGAAGCCTAGCTGATCTGGGGGCTGATTGGAAGTTTTAAAACCTGCAAAGGTATTTTAGGTTTGTTGATGGTAATCACATTGGCAGATGGGATTGGGGGAGCAACAGGTATTGTTTTAGTAACAGCCTTAATAGGGGCCTTCTTGGTCTTGCTTTTCTTAGGTCGGTTGGCAACTGGTGGGTCCATAGCCAGGGGGTCCTTTGTTGCTACCAAGAGGGTATGCATCAGGAAGACACTGTCCTCTTCAGTGGTCTCAACGTGTACATCTGGAGGGAAGTGAAGCCCCAAGCTCCCAGGGGTAGGCAGAGGGCCCTATACACTTAGGATTATGATCTGCTGATTCATCTGATCTCCCTACAGCCCACCCTTTCCATGAAGGTCTCCCCTTCCTCTGAGCAGTAATTGAAAGGGAGGGCGAGGGAAAAGGAAGAAAGCAAAAGAAAGAGTCAGGCCTTATGTTTTTTCTCCCCCTCCTCCACCACGCAGGGGTGGACTGAGACAGGCTAGTCAGAAAATGACGCAACTACAGAGTGGTAGGGGGCTCAAAGCAGGAAGCGAACTCAAGATGGCGCAGCTGGCCAGGCAAGAATGCAGAAGGGCCTCACCTGGACCGGGGGCATCCTATAACCGTAGTCATTTCTCCTATCCATTTTTCTGGGAGGTCATGTAACAGCTGAACCTGAGGGGAAGGGGGTCTGAGTTAGGGGAGAATGGAATGAGAGGGAGGAGGAGATTCACCAGATTTTCTGAAGGAGGGGGCAACCTCATCTAATCTTGGGCCCCAACCCTTCAACTACGGGATTCTCACACCTAGAAACCCAGACCATCTGGTTTGTAAACCCTACCTCCTTTTGCATCTAAACATCCACCAATCAGTTGTATCACCCCACCCCTTTACCCTACACAAGTCTGCCGCAACTCAATACTGCATAAGCGCAACGACCAGAGCCCCGCCCACCTCAGGACCTCAGCGCGCAAGCGGCTTTGAGGGACCACAGTCTGACCACCTCAATCTCACACACTCCCCCCCCCGCTTCACCATCTCCACCCACTCTTTCTAACTGCATCACATCTCAGTCCATCTTTCCCCCAAAACCGGCGCCCTCCCTCCTCTCTGCAGTACCACTTTGCTCCGCCTCTTGCCTAACACCGCCCACGTCTCCTGGGCAGTACAGCCACTCAAAGCCCCTCCGCGATATGCCCCCTCCCTCCGCTCTGCAGTAGTTCTCGGCACTTCCCCTTCCTTTTAATATGCCCCCTCCCTCCGCTCTGCAGTACGTCCCTGCACCGCCCCTCCCCCAAGACCGCCCCCTCACATCCACGTCTACAAGTAATCAGTCCCATCCTTTCTGCAACATGGACACCTCACCCACAAATCCAACGTATTACGCTTTTGTATATTCCTTGTTCCTGAAACCTACCAAGTTCTGTCCCTTCCCTTTTCAAACCGAAATCTACCGCGTACTAGTCCCTGTTTTCTCCCCTCTGATCCGGGTCATTGCAGCTGTTCAAAAGGCATTCTGCTTCATCCTTTCTCCAAGTCCTGACCCCTTTTGCTGTGGCCCAGATCAGGTCCTGATACCTTTCTCCAGGCTTACAGATTTCTGTCACCGCTTGTCTCTCTCCAGAACTGAAGGTTTCTGCTCCATCCCTTCTACCGCCTGAACGATTTCCCCTTCTCTCCTTTCTGCAGTACCAAACGGGTCTGCATCCCTCCCTCCTGTTGCCTTAACAGAGTCCACATCTCTTCATTCTGTGCCCAAAGGAGATTGCGCCCCCTCCTTTCTCCCTTTCGAACCGGATCCAGGCACCTCTAAACCCAACCACTTCAACGCGGTTAGCTCCCAACCGCCTAGCGGGTTTTCTGCAAAACTTGGGGGCGTAAGGAATCAAGCAGGTCAGAGCTGCAGACCAGAGGGCACCACAGTTTTCATTAAGCTGGGCACCTTAGCTCACCTCGTCCTTTTGAGTCCAGAAGACGTCTGCTCTCTCCAAGCCTCTCCTTGGGTCTGAGCTTGTCCACTCCCCCTCCCCTGCCGGAAGTGGTCCTGCCTCTTTCCGCCTCCAGAGGGGTCTCCTTCCCTGCCTGTCAACCTCCTCCCTCCTCCCTACTTCCATCTTTCCATTCTCCTCAATATGGCCTCTTTTCTGATTACTACCCCTATGCAGAAATCCATCTCTCCTATTATCCAGTTGATTTCTCCACCCCCCCCACACACACACACCGTGTATCTCTGATCCTATTTGATTCCTCTCTTCCCACTCAGAGGAGCATGCTCCTCTGAGCTCCCCACAAACCCTTACCACAGCCCCCTGTATGCCAACACTAATTACATAGTGTGTTGTTGTAGCGTGTGCCTGGGTCTCTCTCCCCTGGACCTGCTCTGGGGGGCAAGGGACTAGATCATATTTAATTCTGTCTCTCAAGTATGACAAGACTAAAACTAAATACCAAAAGATTGCCCCCACATCATACGCAATTCAGAATACAAACAGTAAACGTAAGAAAGTCTACCAAAGGTTTATATTTACTCCCTGATCGAAGTAACCAAAAGCAGGCAGATGGTGGAGCACAGTTAAAACAGACAAGTAACCTGCATGAGGGTAACTTATTCAGGTTTTTTTTCTTCCTCAGTCCTGCAATGAGAGTGTGCCCCACTCATGGTTTGAAGCAACACGGGGAGCTAAAACTGTGATGGAAACTCTGCCATCAATGGGGGAAATACAGACACATTGTGATATGTCCATGTAGGTTCATCAATTGAAACAAATGTACCACTGTGGTGGAGGATGTGAATAATGGAGGGGGTTGAGCATGTGTGAGAGAATAGGGTACATGTTTCAGATCTTGTATTTAGGTCTTTGATCTCATTTTTAATTAATTTTTGTACATGGGGGCAAACTATAATCTAGTTTCATTTGTTTGTATGTGGCTTTCCAATTTTCTGAACACTATTTATTGAAGAGGCTTTCTCCATTCTGTGTTTCTAGCTCCTTTGTCGAAAAGTATCTGCCCATGTACATGTGGTTTTATTCTGAGCTCTCAATTCTGTTCCATTGATCTGTGTGTCTGTTTATCTGCCAGTACCATACTGCTTTAATTATCGTAGCTCTGTAGTATAATTTGAAGTCAGGTAGCATGATACCTCCAGCTTTGATCTTTTTTCTGAGGATTGCTTTGGCTAGTTGGGATCTTTTGTGGTTCCATACAAACCTGATGATGTCATTCTATTTCTTTAAAAAATGACATTGGGATTTTTATGGGAATTGCACTAAATCTCTATATTACTTTGGGTAATATGGCCATTTTAACTATGTTGAGTCTCTCAGTCCATGAACACAGAATATTTTTCCATTTTGTTGTGTATTTTTCAATTTCTTTTTCCTCCTTCTCACCCCCCCCCCTTCATTGCCCACCTTTAGATGCTTCAATATGCAAATCTCTCAGGCACTTTTATCTGCCAGTACCATACTGCTTTAATTATCGTAGCTCTGTAGTATAATTTGAAGTCAGGTAGCATGATACCTCCAGCTTTGATCTTTTTTCTGAGGATTGCTTTGGCTAGTTGGGATCTTTTGTGGTTCCATAGAAACCTGATGATGTCATTCTATTTCTTTAAAAAATGACATTGGGATTTTTATGGGAATTGCACTAAATCTCTATATTACTTTGGGTAATATGGCCATTTTAACTATGTTGAGTCTCTCAGTCCATGAACACAGAATATTTTTCCATTTTGTTGTGTATTTTTCAATTTCTTTTAATACTGCTTTGTCATTTTCAGTATATAGGTCCTTCACATCCTCTGTTAATTTATTCCTAGGTCTCTCAGCTCAGCCACAGTTTGTACTACTTGCTTTTGCAGGAGTGCCCACAGATTTTCTCTGCTCCTCCTGACTGAAGGAAGCCCAAGCAGGGAATCCTTTGTTGAGTTATAGCTGTTCAACTTGTTGAAATTTCACAGGAAGAGACCAAGGAGATATTTCACACCTCCATTCCTTAAACTTCACCTTACATATTGGCCCAGAGGCAACTTGGTTTTAAGACTTACTAAGAAGCTTAAATAACTGGATGAAAGAAGGTGAAGGGATTACCTATAACCCATAGACACAGACCCAGTGTGGTGATGGCCAGAAGGAAGGGGTGCGGAGGCTGGGTGGAGGTGGGTTCCCAAAAGCAGGAGCGGGGGGTGAGGACATCTGTAATAGTGTCAACAATAAAATTTGTTAAGAAGCTAAAATAGTCACCATCATTTTAAATTTGGGGGAATAAAAAATAAATATAAATTAATGAAACAGAATACAGTCCATAAATTAGCCCACACATTTATGGTTGATTGATTTTTGTCAAAGATACAAAAACAATTCAATAGAGAAAAGAAGCCTATTTAACAAATGGTGCTGGAACAATGGTGCAAAGCAGAGTTCAGAACTAGAATATTATCGGGATAAAAATGTTATTTAATTATAAAAAAAATAATTCTTCAAAAAGATATAGCCATCTGAACGGTGTATGCGAACAGCAACATAGCTTTAAAGCTGTAAGATTTATTTCATTGAAAAAAATAGATAAACCAACAATAATGGTTGGAGACTTCAACATTCCTTTCTCAGTAACTGGCAGAACAAATAGAATAGAGAAGACCTGAGTAAGTTTCAACCTCTTTGGCAAAGTACACCTGTTCATTAATTTTATTCTCAATCTCACTGAACTTCCTTTCTGAGTTTTCTTTGATCTCATTGAGGTGTTTTTTATGACTGCTATTTTGAATTCTCTCTCATGGATCACAATCTTCCATGACTTTGAGTTTGGTTTTTGGAGAACTGTCATTTTCATTCCGTGTTACCATGTTACCTTGGTTGTTCATAGTGCTTGATGCACTGCTCCTTTGCTGGAGCATTTGAAGTAGTGAACATCGCAGTGGTGATGGGAGTCGATGCCTGGATGACTTGGATGGTGGGTATCTCCACTGTGTCCAGGTCACCTGAGTTATGGGACACCACATCCTGGTGGTGGGGGTGACATGTGAGGAAGGTGGCTGGGTTTCTGAGCTCACTCGACTGTTTAATTGTTCACTGTGGCTGCTGGCACTGTTGTGTTGTAGCTGAGAAGCCATAGAAACATCACTGCTGCTACCAGACTGTGCCTAAGTGGGGAGAGGGAGCCAGATTCTCAGGTGCTAGTACTGCTTCTGCCCCTCTAACCTTCCACTGGGCAATGGTAAGAGGTCCATACCCTGAATCTTCATCATTGTCACATTAGCTGGGGTCATGGTCTCAGCTGTTGTGGACTGGGAACCACATCTGCAGGCACTCTCTCTGTCCTTCCCCCTTCCTGCTTGTCCTATGTATTCCGTTTTGCACACTTTCAGAAGTATCAATTTGTGGATCTCTTAGTTGTGCTAGTGTGTTAAACAGAGAAACCTTTGTTGGGTTATAGATGTCCAACTTGTAGATTTAAAGAGAGATACAAAGAAGCCTTCTCATTCTGCCATAATGCTAATGTCACTTTGAGAAAGAGCTCTTATCCAGCTACCACCCCTAGGGCACAGAGGAAAACCCACAGTCTGAGGCACCCAGTCTATTGTGTAAAAAGTCTATTAGCTTATTCTCATAGCTGCATCCTAATTAAACACACATGTAAGGGCCAACTGTCATGCTCCCCAAAGACCACAGAGTGTGGTAGCTATCTTAACACAGCCTGCTGTGCACCAGAACAGTAGTAACTCCCAGTGGGTAGCTTGTACACACATCTTATGCCCTGGTTTTTATGTATGGTGACAGTTTTTGTGGCTGCCACTCAGAGGAAGCCCCTTGATTGCCAGGCTCTGGTGGCCAGTGGAGCTCACATCCACAAGCTCAATAGGACTGTAGCAAAGAAAGAAAGAGTTCTTAGCTGGCTACATCCAAAGGCTCAGTGAAGAAGGGCACCAACAAAAATGCCCATCTCCAAATCTTCCCCTGAAAGTGGTATATTTGTATACTTTAAAGTCTGCTGCTTGACTGTCTGGTTTCCAATCATCTTGAATTTTGGATAATGCTGGCCTCCTGAAAAGAGCTTGGAAGTCTTCCCTCCTCTGGACATTTTTGGAACAGTCTGAGGATAGATGCTAGTTCTTCTTTGACTCTTTGGTAAAATTCACCTGTGAAGCCATCTGGTCCAGGATTTTTGTTTGCTGGGAGTTGGGTTTTTGTTTTGTTTTTTATTACTGCCTTTTGACCCAGCAATCCCACATCTGGGAATATATCCAAAGAAACCTAAAACACTGATTCGAAAGTATATATGCACCACTATGTTCACTGCAGCATTATTTACAATAGCCAAGGTTTGGAAGCAGCCCAAGTGCCCATCAGTAGAGGAGTGGGTAAAAAAGCTGTGGTATGTTTACACAGTGGAATACTACTTGGCCATGAAAAAGGGGAATCTTACTTTTTGAGACAGCATGGATGGACCTGGAGATTATTTCCTAAGAGAAATAAGCCAGTCAGAGAAAGACAAATACCATAAGATCTCACTCATATGTGGAATTTATTGAACAAAGCCAAATAGTCAGATGAGAAGTTTGAGTTAAATTTATCATGAATCTAGTGAACAGCTAAGAAATATGCAAACAATGGATACATGGAACACACTAACATCTGTCAGAGGGGAGGGGGCTGCACTGGATGAAATAAGGTGAAGGGATTAGCCAAAGAACATATATGCATAACCCATAGACTCAGACAACAGAGTGGTAATGGCCAGAGGGAAGGGGGGGCGATGATGGGGGGGGGAATGGGCAAATGGGAGGAAAATGGGTACATCTGTAATAGTGTAAACAATAAAAATAAAGTTTAAAAAAGAAGAGGAGGAAAGTCTCAAAGACAAAGCAAAGAAAGCTTGAATAACACTGTGGACGCTGAGAAGGGAGCCGATAGCCTGCTAAAACTCTGGCTAAGACTCCAGAACTCCCACATTACTATGAATATAAAGAAGAATTCAATGTTGTTTTCCCTCCCTAGTGTAGAGGACAGGTACCTGACAAGGTCCCAG